GGTATGTCGGGTAGGAGGGGTGTGGGTGAGGGGAGGGAGAGGGAGAAGGGATTGATATGTGAAACAAGCTTGTTTCTAATTTAAACTAATAAAAAAAAAAGCCAAAAATGGCAAATCTAAATAAAAATATCAGACACTAAGAGACACACCTAAATGTGTGGTTAAAAGCCAAAAATGGAAAGACATGAAAAAATATACCAAAATCACAAACTCAAGTATTGTGTAATTGTAATAAGTTAGATTTCCCAAGTATCACTGTTGATAAATGTGACGTTTCACCAATGAAGAGACTATAATTATTCTAGTCTATATACTCTGACCAGCACTCTGAAAATCTATTAGCTGAGTCTGACAGAAATGAAAACACAGCACACAAAGATAGACACAGGCTCCACAGTGCACTTTGAGCACACATGCACAAGTGGTACCATACGTTAAGACATAAAGTGCATTTTAATAATGCCATATTCCTTAAATAATGAGAGTATGGACAGAGCTATCCTCTGACTACAATAGCGTATGGTTTCCAAATGTTCCTAATACTGTGAGATAAAACTACAAATTTGATAGAAAAGGAACCAGGAAATCTCCAGATACTTAAGACTTAAGCTGTATAAACAATATAACAAATGAAGCCTGGAAAATATTGAGTAGAAGAAAAACTATGATACCAGCATTCATGAAATACAATTGAATCAATAGCCATATAAAGCTATAAAAATAAATTTAACCAAGGTAGTTCTTCAAAAATCTAACAGAATTAATAAATCCCATAAAGACTGGCTTCAAAGAGACTATCAGTGGTTGCTTACAGACACAAGCAAAGACAAAGACACACTACACGTAAAAATTATTTTAGATGGAGCCAGAGAGATGGCTCAGAGGTTAAGAGCACTGGATGCTTTTCCAGAGGTCCTGAGTTCAATTCCCAGCAACCACATGGTGGCTCACAACCATCTGTAATGAGATCTGGCATGCAGACAGAACACTGTACATATGATAAAAAATTTATTTTAGAAAAAGTGGACAAATTCCTTAGGAAATATACAACTAAAGTTCATGTGAGAAGAAACAGTTTAGACAAATGAATTCTAATAATGCCTCATATGGAAGGCCACTGCCTTCTGGATTGTGTAGAAGGTGTGGTAAGGGCAGACACTGGACTATGGAAAAAACTGCTAAACTCAATCAGCCAGTATACTTCAAAGATGTACTAACCTCTACATGGAAACCAGGACATGTATTACGTTGGGGTAGGGGTTTTACATTGGTTTCTACAGGAGAAGAAAAACTTTGGATACCATCAAAGTTGATCAAGATTCGACTAGAAAAGGAAAAACCTCTCAACGAGGACAAATGACAGGTATTCTACTAAGGTATATCTTATAAACTAAATAGAAACCTCCCAAAGGAAAGGGAAGTGTTTTGCTTTTATCT